AGCAGGGCGTGGGGCCCTTGGAAACTCTCTGGACTCGGCTTGCAGCTTTTCTAGAAATCTAAATCTATTCTAAAATCAAAAGTATACTAATTAGAAAGGAAAGAAGGGATAGTACTTCCTTCCGGGCAGGTCGCTGGGAGGGTGCGGGGAGGTGGGCAGGAGCCGTGGCTGTATCAGCCCCTCCTTCGGTGGCAGTTCATGTCCTCTCCTACTTGAGCAGGGGGTGGGCTTGGGACCTCGGGGTCGGGCTTGCCCAGCACGGCCCCTCCCTGTCTGGAACCTGCCTGCACCTGGCTGACCAGGCAGGTGGACATGCTGCCTCAGAGCTCCTCGGGAGCCATGCTCCCTAGCAGTATGGGAACCCAGGGCTGGCCAGGGACCATTCTGCGCTGGACCCTGTCTCTGCACGGACAAGGAGAAGCCCATCTTGACCTGGTCCAGAAGGGAAGGCTGCCATTTGCCCTCCCATGGGCTCCCCAGGGGCCTAGCTCTCCCCTCCAGCCCTAGACAGAGGCCCAGGCATTTCTGCTGTAACCCAGAGTCTGACCCTCCCTTTGGACAGGAAAACAGATGCAGAGCTCCCACCCCAATAGACCCTCCTTTCCTTCTTCCTGCTCCCTGGGCTTGACTCCAAAGCCAGCCCCCTGCCAGGAGGCCTGCCCATGCAGGGTTACAGGAGAACAGGGAAGGGGCTCTTGCAACTACTGCCTGCCTGGCCATGTTGCTCTTTACTGGATGTGGAAACCCACTTTCTCCTCTCCCAGGCCAGAGGAAGCCCCACTCCAGCCGGCCCTGCCACAGGGGCTGGTTCTGGAAAGCAGCTGGGCATAGTGGCTAAGAGTCACAAAGATCTGAGTTTAAATCTCAGCCCTCCCACTTTCCAGCTGGGTGGCCCTGGGTGAGTTACTCAGCCTCTCTGAGCCCTGGCTTTCTCACCTGTGAAATGGGAACAATTCCTCTCTCCATAAGGTTGATGTGAGGTTGTATGCAAGCCCTCAGCATGTGCCTGGCACATAGTAGGTGTTCAGTGAACAGCAGCTCTTCCTCCAACCCTAGTGGTTTCTAGCTTCTGCTCCATTATCGTGTAGTTTCTCCCTTCTTCTGTTTTGTCTCCCCATGGCCAGAGAGTCCTGACCTTTGCTTGTTTTTCTAGTACATACCCAGTGGCCGTCCCAAGCCAATACGTGACATGGAACCCTAACCTGGGGATCTTGGCAAATGACATTGAACTTGGCTGAGGTGGGGAAGCAAGGAGACCAGACACGGTGTTCTTTTCTGCCCTGTGGGTGTGTCTGGCGGCTGTCACGCTGGGGCCCACACCCACGGGAAGCGATTCCTGCTCTGCCCAGAGCTGGCGCACTGGCCTGCCTTCTGCCGTTTGGGAGGCAGCCGTGGAGGGCAGAGGCCGACAGAGCTGGTTCTGGAGAGCACAGCCAGACCAGAGCCTGTCAGGGAGCCGCCTGTGGGTGTGTTCCAGAGGTCCTGGGCCTCTCAGGTAGCAGCGCCTCCTGGCTGTGGTTCCGCCCCCGGCTCACGGTTGTGGCTGGGACCCATGTGCCAGGCGGCATCCGCGGTTCTGGGTGGACATGGCAGCCCTGCCCAGCCACCTCCTTGGCCTGCGCAAGCGGTCAGGACAGCTTCAGCGGAATCCAAGCCCTAAGGTCCTACTCAAGGGCTAGGGCTGATCAGGGTGTGTGCAAGGGAGCATGCCAGGGCCCCAGAGATGGACCAGACCAGGGGATGTGGAATGGCAGGGCCAACCCCACCTTTTTTTTTTTTAATGAGGGAATAAGGTTGTAAAATAGAATTACTTTATTTTTATCACTCTTATGTAGTATAAGAAAAGACTAGACTATCGCTCACGCCTCAGAACTATTCATCCACTCTTGTGCCTTAGGCCATCTTTTGGGGATCACTTTCCATCTTCCTTTGCTACAGACCCTTTGAAGGGGTCTGTATAACTGTCTCAGGTTCTGTTTCCTTGATAATGTCTGTTGAAAATCTACTCCTAACCAGATGGCCCTTCCTTGGCAAGTGGCCCCGTCCTCTCTCTTCTTGCCACCCGGAAGTCATGTGACTGACGTGAGCATGGGGAGAAGTCTCCCAGAGACTGTGGCCACCGTCTCACCCCAGGAACGGAGCAGCTATGCTCAATGGGACTTTCAGAGAGAGACTGGAGGCCAGTGGGGGAAGCAGACAGGCAGGTTGAATGGGGTTCATGACACCCAGAACTTTCTAACAGGCTAGCACATGCATGCATTGGGGAGTGTGTGAGCAGGGGCTGGGAAGAAACTCCCCATCCTGGGTGGGGCTTGCCTCAGCTGCCCGGATTACCACTGGCCTCGGGGCTCTCTTGATGGCTCCAGGATTCCTGCTTTTCTCTCCCCTGCACAGAACCTCTGCCCATCTCCTCCAAAGGTCCCATGACTTTCTTGGGCGAGGCTCATTCTGGGTTCTCCAGCAAGCCCTCCCTGACCCTTCTGGCCTATGTATACCCCATCTCCTTTACCCCCAACTCCTGGGGTCTGGGTCCACCAGTCACCTGAAGCATTTGGTTGCTAGATTATTTCAGAGTGCTGTGCTGTGCTGAGCAAGGTCTCTCTGGATGGAGAGACCTTGTCTCTGTCCCTTTCTGCTTGCTCAGTATTACATTTAGGCCAGTCACCCAGGAGTGGGAGGTGGCATCAGGAGGCCCCACTCAGTCCCCACCAGTGTTGGACACTTGGGCTCTCATTCTACCTCCTGTTCTGAGGGGTGGCAGCCTCCTCCCCAATCCCACCGTGAGGACCTCCCAGTGTCCTGCGCTGGAGATGCCAGCCATGGGAGCAGGAGTCGCTGGAGGCTTCGATGGGTGGGTTTGGCCTGCTGAGTGTGGAGACAGCAATAAAGGATATGGCCAGATTCTGGCAGCAATCTTCCTGGCCCACTCTGGAGAGAGACAGAGCAGGAAGACAATGGCCCTGGGAATTTCCAGATGCCCAGGGGCTCTGCACATACCTCTACCCAAGCATTCCAGTGACTGCTCTCTTTTCCTGCCCCGGGGGCAACCGGTGGGTTTATATGTGTCCATGTGGGGCGCAGATGTGACTGTGTAGAGCATGCCTTGCTTAGCACCCCATCTTTGGTCTGCGTGCTTACAGGGCACATCAGGGGGTCTGAGACACCTGCCACACCCCATGTAGAAGGAAGGCCACATTCTGAGTTGGAGGGGCTGAGATGTGAAGGTTATGTAAGAGTTATCCTGCAGCAGGTTGATGATTATTTCAGCAGAAGAGCAAAGAATTCATAGGTTGGAATTCTGTTAGGGAGAAAATGCGTGTGTGGCCGATTGGCCCCCCACCATGGAGCACCCCTTCCACCACACGGTTCTCTTAGGATAAGTCGGGGCACATAGGTTGAGAAGGACGTCATCTCCTTCCACATTTGGGCACTCTGCCCCCGTGATGTGTGCTGGGGAGTGGAGGAGTGTGGAAGGAAGTGCCTCCGCCCATTGGATTTCCCGTCATTCCCGGTGCTGGGGTGTTGGGGGGCCTGCTGTTTTGCAGCAGGCGCTGGTCTTTGGTCTCTGTTGGGTCCAGACATGGGTGCCAGGTCGGCCCCGGCGGAAGGAAGCCTGACACAGGGTGCTCTGAAGTCCACGTGCTCCCGAGTTGGGGTAGCTTCCCGTTCCGGGGGAGCCGGTGGGGGCTCTATGGCGCACACAGCTTCGGCTGCCAGGCTCTGTGGCCATAGCCTGCTCTGTGTTTGGCCGGCCCGGGAACAGGCCTCCAGTCGCCTCCTGGCTTTCCCCTCCCTGTGGGACCCTCACATATAGCCTTGGCAGCTCTGTTCCTCTCCATTGGGTAGACAGCAGTCCCTTTGTGGGTTGTCGGCTGGTTACTTTGCTCATAGGCTGCAGGGCATGGAGAGATGGAAGCAGGGAGAACAGGGCCATGTATGAAACGCCCTCCAGGTCCTGGGAAGACGTGCGGCCAGGAGTCAGAGGCTGGGATCCACTTCTGCCTCTCTGGTGTGTGGCCCACTCATTGTTCCCAGATGCGGAGTTGGCATGAGATGTCCATGTGCTAGCCCTATGGCGGCCATTATGATCCGCATTCTGTAGGGACAGAAACAGAGGTCCTAAGGAGTTGCCTGGTGTGCCCTGAGCCACCCAGAATCCAGGGCAGAGGTGGGATTTGAACCTGGGACTCTGGCCCCAGTAGCTGCATTGCTTTACCAGTGCTGTGTGCTGACGCTGACTTGCTAAGCAAGTCACTCCTCTCTGGGGTTACGTTCAATGAGGCGATTAGTTACATAAGTCGTGGCCCATCACACACAGACATTGGAGATGATGCTTTTAAATATGCGGAATACTGTTTCACAAAACAAACAACATATAAACAGTATATTCAGTATGATTACTGTTTTGTAAAATGAGCCCACGCACGTATGCACACACACGCACACACGGCAAAAAGCACGGTAACTGGTTATCCTACATCTATCTGGCAGACGGTCGATTTTCTTCTTCCACCTTTTTTGTACTTTTCAAAGTTTATAGGGTGAAATGTTTTATATTCAGAAAAAAAAGTTAGTTAAAAAAGCTGGAATTGTTCAAGGGGCATCCTCAGGAGATGGACACTCAGGGGAGAGTGAGCTCCCTGTCCTTCGGGGTGGACAGGCTGAGGCTTGTCCATCTGTCATGGACACTGCTCCTGGGTGTCCTGATTAGAGGAATGGGGAGGACAGCATTCTTTGGTGGACTGTGCCTGGCACGGCCCCCCGGGTCCCTGGACCTATGGAAGAAGGGAGTTTCCCAATGCCATGCTCCTCAAACTTGACCATGGCTGAGAATCCCTGGAGATTGTGGTCACATTGCAGACTCTGACTTGGGAGGTGGGCCCGAGACTCTGCATTTCTAAGACCCTCGTGTACTTTCCTTTGGATTTGCCCTGGAAAAGTTCCCCGGGCACTGCAAAGCAGACGATTCCGGTGGCAATTGGAGAGGTACACACAGGGACATGAGGATGAGCGACCTGGACTGGGTGACACTTGTGGAAGGACTCTTTCCAGCTGTGGAAAGATGAGTTTTTGTCAGAGGGCTGAGTTTGAGGCCGGGGCCCCCTCACACTTGGCTTCATGGAGAGAGTGCACAGGTGGAACCAGGAGGGCCAGGATTTTAATCCCAGCTCTGCAGCTCCTTAGCTGCGTGTCCTTGGGAAGGCCATTTTGCCTCTCTCTGCCTCAGTTTCTTCATCAGTACAGTAGGGATAAGAAGGCTGCCTGCTAAGGCCATAGTGAGGATGAATTGGGATAACATGGATCAGGAACCTGGCTCAGGATCTGCTCTGTGGTAGGCTCTTAACACATGCTTGCTTCCCCTAAAATTGCATGCTCCCTTCTCCTGGCAGGTGGATGAGATTTACCATGATGAGTCCCTGGGGGCCCACATAAACATCGCGCTGGTCCGCTTGATCATGGTCGGCTACCGACAGGTAACCCCCTCTTGCCAATAGGCAGGGTTTGGAGGGAGAAGTGGTGTGGGGCCGATGCATCGGACTGGCTGTGGGGTGGAGAGCCATTGGTCAGCGTCTAGGAAGCATTTTGTTTCCAGAATCAGAACCCTGAGACCATTAGAATTGAGGCTTCAGGGGCATTTGGGGATGTTACGCAGGGACTGAGGGATTCCCTCCAAACTTATAAGCAGACAGTCCTACAGCCTTACAACTGGAGATCCCTCTTCCTGAGGAACCGATGTGGAGATGGGCTCAGAGTGGGGCAGTGACCGAGCCAAGTCCTGCTTTGCTTGGATGCTGGGGCCCTGAGCTTTGCAATCTTAGACTGGTCTCTTATTCTCCCCCAAATGGGGGTAGCAACAGAACTTTCCTCCAGGGGCTATCGTGAGGATAAAATGAGACCGTGAACATAAAGCCTAGAAGAAGTACTCAGCACAACACCTGTCTTGCAAGTCAGTTGAGGGATGAAAGAGAATGTGTGTTGAGTTCTCAGCAGACAGGTGTCCTGGCACACTCCCTAAAGTGGGAGAGGGCTGTGCACCAGCAGTTGGAGTCAGGGCTACTCGGGGACAGTCCGTGCAGTCCCACGGGCCTCAGTGTCCTCCGCCGGTGGGAGGGGAGCGATGGGTGCCCCCTGCAGTCTGGGGACTCTGGTGATCGCCCCTCTGTTGATGCTCTTGGCCCCCGCAGTCTCTGAGCCTGATCGAGCGTGGGAACCCCTCTCGCAGCCTGGAGCAGGTGTGTCGCTGGGCGTACTCTCAGCAGCGCCAGGATCCCAGCCACGCAGAGCACCATGACCACGTGGTCTTCCTCACCCGGCAGGACTTCGGGCCCTCAGGTACGCCAGGTGCTGTCTTAGCTGTGGCCAGGTGTGTGCAGCTGCAGGGCAGAGGCTCAGGCTCGGGGCCGGGCTCTCTGGAGCCACCCCAAGGCGGTTTGAGGGACCAGGTTCCCTGTCAACAGAGAGAGTCCTGGGACTCTGGAGATAGGACCTGGCCGGACAGGTGGGCAAGCTTGGGGGACCAGGGGAAGTGAATGGGTCCCCATTCTGGTCCCTGCGGTCTTGGTTGAGCCTGCCAGTGGCTGGGAATGGCGTGTGTTTGTTGACTGACCAACTGACTGGCTGGCTGGAGGGACATGGCATGGAAGTCGGGTGTGCACAGGCTTGGGGTATCTGGAAATCTTACTGTTTTGATCAGAGGAGGGGGTGACAGAGGCATGGAAGCTGTAGGCCCTGAAGGGAGGGCCTACAGCTTCCATGCTGTAGGATGTGGGAGCATTTGGCTCAGGTTGCTCTGCTATTGGGAGGGGGACAGACTTTGCAAAGATCCTCCTTCCTCCAGACACCCTCTGACAGTGACCACGTCAGCATGTCCCTACAGTGGCTGGCTGTGCACAGACCTCGCGGAGTCCTGCCTCACCTTCCTGTGACCTCTGTCTGCCCTCTCTCCCTCTCCCCGGCAGGGTATGCACCTGTCACTGGCATGTGCCACCCCCTGAGAAGCTGTACCCTCAACCACGAGGACGGCTTCTCCTCAGCCTTTGTGGTGGCCCACGAGACTGGCCATGTGTAAGTGTGCGTAAGCGGCGCCGGGAGGGCCTGCTGCGCTGGGAGCTCCGAGGAGTTCTGCGGGTGTGGGTGGCTTAATCCCAGATCGGGCTCCCACCCCCCCATCCTGGGAGATGCCAGAGGAGCTGCCCATGCAGTGTGCCCAGCCGTGATGGGGAGGGAGCCCCAGGGCCCAGATGGCAATTCTGGGCCTGCCTTGGGTCCAGCCCCCACATCCCAGGGCCATGGAGGACCAGATGTGGCCCTGCCTTTGGGCAGGTAGATGCCGTGTCCCATCATAGGCAGTGGTCTGTTCTCTGGATGGCCTCTATCCCTCATCCCATCCACAACTTGAGGCCCTCCCAAGAGCCGTTCCAGCCCAAACGGCTGCTGCAGCGCTGGCCTGAGCCCATCGTAAACAGGCGCTCATAGGCTCAGGCCTCGGGCCAGGCTGGCAGCCGGCTTGCTTGGTCTCTGGACCTGGATTTTGTTTAGAGCATATCCATTCATTCATTCAACCAGTATTTCTTGAGCACTCACTGTGCACCAGGCCCTGTGGTAGGAATGGACTGTAGTGGAGAATAGGCCAGAGAAGCTACATTCCGGGAGAAAGCAAATATGCCACTGTCATCCAGGTTGTCCTTTGGTAACGCGCACATGTTACAGTCATGCCTGCCGGCCTCGTCCCCCCACTGGGCAGAACTGAGGGACACACTCCCGGCCCCTCCCCTGCAGGTGAAGGACCTGGGAAGGAGAGGGGTGGGCCAGCCCGGAGGGGGTCTGGCACCTGCTGTCTGCCGTGCCCCTCTCCACACCAGCCCTATCTGCCCAGGAGGCCCCTGTGGACTCCATGCAAGCTCCACCCCTCGCTGGGGCCCCAGCTCCCTCCTGACTGGCACGCGGGGAACCTCAAGAGTCCCTTCCTTTCCCGGAAGCCCATGGTGCCTCATATTTTAGAGCTGGGGGTTTGTCCTCCTGTGTGTGGGAGGCGGGGTGGGGGGGGCGGCGCTCCACTCTTCATGTAGCAGAGGCTCTCCCTGGGGAGAGACAAGGACAGCCTTAGAGGTCCACGTGTCTGTCTGGTGGTCAAGGCCAGACGCAGCCACCTGGGAGTATTTGAGAATTTAGAGCCTCTGGGCTTTGGCATTCAGTACGAATGATACAAAACAGACTTTACAATTTAAACTATCGCTATGGTAGGTGTGTACCACGCACAAAGCTCTGTGCTCAGTTCTGCAGGGTCTTGGAAAAGCTTAAAAGCTGGCATGCAGATACTCAGGAAATGAGGTTGAACTGAGCCAAATGAGTGAGACCTGGTCCTTGCACTTGCAGGCCTTGGGCCTGGTGCTGCGAGTCGTTAATGGTGGGACAGGTGGCCCCTGCTGTGGGAGGTCAGCCCTTGGGAGTCGTGACCAGGGAGGGTGTATGGGGAGGAGTGGGGCTTGAGTGGGCCTTGGAACCCCTGAGGATGTGGGTGGAGTTTGAGGAGAGGGCAGGAGGGCAGAATGAGTCCAGCCCCATTGGGGAGCAGGGTGGGGCCTCAGCTTCCATCCAGAGGGGTGGGCCTCCCCTCTGCATGGTGGGGAAACTGAGGCCAGGAGTAACAGTCTGAAGCCTGGTCAGGGCATGCTCTCCTACTGCCTTCACAGGGACCGGCTCCCTAGCGTGACTCGGGGCTCCCTTCTGTACCCCACCCCCACCCTCTAGGCTCGGCATGGAGCATGATGGTCAGGGGAACGGCTGTGCGGACGAGACCAGCCTGGGCAGCGTCATGGCGCCCCTGGTGCAGGCTGCCTTCCACCGTTTCCACTGGTCGCGCTGCAGCAAAGTGGAGCTCAGCCGCTACCTCCCGTAGGTTGCCTCCACTCTGGGCTGGGGACAGGGGAGCACACAGCCTGCCACTCCATCTCCCCCGCCCCCCAGCCATCTCCGTCCCAGGACCACCCTGCCCCCAACATGCGCTCCATTCCCAGCCTTGCTGCTCAGCTCCTGGGCCTCCAGGGACGTTGAGGCCGAGGACAAGCTTTAGACCCTGGAGCTCAAGGCAAAGAATGGGGGCAGAGTGGATTTGGGTGGGGCAGGTGGGGGCAGAGAGACTGTCACTAACCTCATGCGGCAGCTGGCCAGGGCCCCCAGTACGTCCTGTGTGGCAGGCTGCCTTTCCTTCCCTCAGTGCAGTGAGCCCTCTGATTGTTCTGGAACGGGCCCTTCCTCCCTGGAAGACACAGCGAGCACCTAGCAGAGGGCAGCAGGGGCTGAGTCCTGCAGGCCCGCCTTTGCTCCCTAAAGCCCCGCCTCCAGGACAGGAGGGCGTGGGAATTCCTGCCTCGGCCTGGCTCACTTCCTTGTCTCCACCGGCAGCTCCTATGACTGCCTCCTCGATGACCCCTTTGCGCCTGCCTGGCCCCGGCCCCCGGAGCTGCCGGGCATTGACTACTCAATGGACGAGCAATGCCGCTTTGACTTCGGCTCCGGATACCACACCTGCTCTGCGGTAAGTTCCCACCGGCCTCTGCCTGCTGGGGTGCCAGGGCCTTGTCCTCCTGTGACCCCGGCTGGGCCTCCGCAGAGCACCTCCCTCCCAGCTGGCCAGGTGGCCTGGTGATGGGCCCACGGGCTTGGTGCTACCTGCCGTGGGGGGATGCAGGGTGACCAGGGCCCGGCCCTGCCGCCTTCTACTACATACCTGCCCTACCCAGTCCCACGCTCGGAGGCAGGTTTGTGCAGTGGCTGGAGGATGCTTTAGTCCTGGGAAAGATGGGACAGAGTAGAACAGAGAGGGCAGGTGGCTGATGGGGTCCTGGCTGGGTGGGTTACTGGGGAACTTACCTGCCGGGCAGCCCCTCTGTCACATCAGGGGCTGGGCTCTGGCCTGCTGGACTAATAGTTGTCTCCATCTACTCTGCGGGGTTTGAGAGGATGTTTTGGGCTGATTTGTCACCCTAGGGAAAATCTCCTGTGTCCCCACATAATCTCTCTCCAGGGGGTCAATTGCATGCTCTCTCCTCCCCACCCCATGCCTAGGAGATAGATACAGGGAGCATAGCCCTTCCTTACCCTGCAGAACAGGGCAGGAGAGAGCCTGGCGCTGGGGAGCCCCCCAGGAGAGAACCAGACAGCCGCTGATCAGGGCCTTGGCAGAGGCTCACATCCTGCAGGACCAGGAGCCCCTTCTCGCTGCTCAGGCCACATGGGGACACATGGTCTCTGAGCTAGGCGGGGAGAAACAGCCTGGGATGTGGAATTTCAGTGCCCAAGGGCTGTATCTGTAGGACGCTGGTCTGGCTGGCAGGGGATCATAGGAGAGAACAATCTGGGCTCTCCTGGACAACATGAAACAGGAGGTCACCAACATCTGGCACAGCCTGGTGAGACCAGAGGCGGGTGGGAGTCCTGGCCTCGTCTGGGTGTCTTGGGGTCTGGGCCAGACCGGCAGCCCTTTGAAGGCCCTGATGTGCACTGGGCTCAAGGGGCTTGGCAGGCCCAAGCGTCCCCGGAGCCTCAAACCCTAGTCCCTGCCCAGTGGCACGGCGGCTTCTTCAGAGGCAGGGAGGGAGGCCTGGGAGGCAACAAGGGGAGTGTGGGCTGTGGCCTGCCCCTTCTCGGTTCCCCCGCCGGAGAGAGTCGGGGGTCCCTGGAGGCCATTAAAGTGGGGTCCAGTTTGAGGGCGTGGACCTGCCTGCGTCCCTCCCCGTGTTCTGGCCCCAGCGCCCACCACAGCCCTCCCCTCTCTCCGCCACTGCTCTTTGCCCCCCGGACGACTTGGAGCCTGAGTGCGTGACTGCTCTCCCCTGCCCGCGCAGTTCCAGACCTTTGAACCCTGTAAGCAGCTGTGGTGCAGCCACCCCGACAACCCGTACTTCTGCAAGACCAAGAAGGGGCCCCCCCTGGACGGGACCGAGTGTGCACCTGGCCAGGTACCTGGGGCCTGGGGCTGCGGCAGGACTGTGTGGGTCCCCGGGAGCCCCCGTCCCCCAGGCGTGGGTGTGCAGATGGCATGCATGGAGCCCCTCCATGAACTCATATGTTCACACCCTCCCTCCCACACCACAGTGTGCAGAGCTTGGCATTCTCTTCCAGCCCTTCCGGCAGGAAGGCTTACTTCCATTTTACAGATGAGAAGAATGAGGCCCAGGCAGGCAGGCGAAGGAACTTGGGGAGTCAAAGAAGGGGGGGAGGGAAGACTCCAGGTGTCCTGCTTGCCCTCCCTGGCCCACCACGCAATTTCTCCCACACACGTGTTGCCTCCCCTGCCCCAGACCCAGCCTTTCACATATGTGCGGGCATGTGTTTGCCCCCTTGAGTGTGTGTGTGTGTATGTGTGTCAGGGCTTCATTTGTCCTGGGGGTCTCATGGCTGGGTCTGAGAGCCCTGACCTGGGGTCTGAAACCCACCTCTGCTCTATCGCTGGCCCTGAGCCTGATCTCTGTGGTGCCTGTAGGCCACTCGTGGCACTTCTCTGGGTCCTGCTGACCCCTGATCAAGTGGCCTCTCCACTCCTCAGGTGGTTCTGACGTCACGTGAGAGCAAAGGGCAGAAGCAGGGCGTTGAGAGAGGCTCTAGGCTTACTCAGCATCAGCTGGGAGCCCAGCCACGGGACGCCCCCCTCCAGCCTGCCCTCTGCCCTCTGCCCTCACCAGGCTCCACCCACCCAGCACATATGTGTGTGTGGGGGGGCGGGGGGGTCTGCCCCTTCACAGATGGCTGGGGCTTCCCGTGGCTTTGCACGGGCCCAGTGGGCTCTGCGCCTGGTGGGCTCTTATCCTGGAGACTCGGTATACCTGCTCCAGGTGTTTCCAGAGTTCCAGGAACTTCCGTCACCATTTCACGTGACAGTTAATCCATGACTCTCAGTTTTGGCTGCATATTGGAACCATCTGGGGAGCTTTCCGAGTCCCCACCCCCCAGGGCAGGGAGTGACTGCAGATGGGCATGAGAGATCTCTTTGGGGTGATGGAAATGTTCTAAAATTGGATGTGGTGACAGTTGCACAAGGCTGTAAATTGTGAAAACTCACTGACTTGTGCACTCGACCGGAGCGATTTTTATGATACAGAAAGTATCTGCCACGTCTTTAAAAAATCCCGACCCCTAGAGATCCTGACTCAGTTGGTCTGGGGTGGAGTGAAGGCATCTGGCGTTTTAAAAGTTCCCCAGGTGACTCCAAGGCTGAGAACCACGCAGCTTTCTCTTGAAAAAGACCCAGGGAGCTTTGCTGTCCTTCTCACTTGTTGCCCTGCAGGAGAAGGGAAGCGAGTTGCTTTGGTTGAGCCCGCCTTTATGCCTGGCCTCAAGCTAGGGCCTTTGTAGATGTTCTTGCTTTCAGTTCTTAGAACAGTTCCATTTAACAGGTGAGCACACTGAGGCTCAGCAAGGGGAAGTTGTGCCAAAGTCACACACAGCTTCTAATGGCTGAGCAGGGATTCAAACCCAGGCCTCTTAGACTCGATTCAAATATTCCCTCCATTTGTGCATGGGTAGACCTCCCGGTGGGTCTGGCTTGCCTCCCACAAACACACCTGCCTGTGGCCCCTGCAAGGGGATTTTTAGGTACAGAGTCAAGATTGTCTCTAGATAGCATGGAAAGATTGTGTCTTCTATTCCCGATCAGTTTTTTTCTCCAGGAGTGTTAAGCCAACTAACTGCAGTTATTATCGTCATTGATAATACTGTCTGCCATTTTTGGAGGGCTGTGCGTGCCAGGCATGATCTCCTTCAAGGCTCCCAGCAGACCTGTGGGCAGGTGCTGTTAGGCACACTGTTCACTGGAGGGATAGGCTCAGAAAGGGGAACCCTTTGCTGAAGGTCCACTCGGCTCATGGTAGGGGTGGGATTCTGTGCAACCCTGAGGCTCGTGCTCTTAATGTCCTTTGCTCTGGGCTCACCTGTGGTGCCCCCAGCCACGTGCACCATGGGGCACTCTCCCTAGCAGGCTGGGTGGCCCCAGGGTAACTTCATTCCGTCTGCTCCATCCCAGTGGTGCTTCAAAGGTCACTGCATCTGGAAGTCGTTGGAGCAGACTTACGGCCAGGATGGAGGCTGGAGCTCCTGGACCAAGTTCGGGTCATGTTCACGGTCATGTGGGGGCGGGGTTCAATCCCGCAGCCGGAGCTGTGACAATCCCCTGTGAGTGCTCTTGGCTGAGGTGGGCAGGGCAGGGGACCCCCTGCCCCCAGGCCTGAGGGGCTGGGAGAGGAAGGCACGTGGGGAGAGGTGAGGGCAGGACACTAGAGAGAAGGACCCCTGCAGGTGGTTTGTATTCTATTGGTGAGGACCCAGATTTGTTGGGGTGGGGTGGGGCTGGGCCTGATGTCTCCCATCGGGTGTGGCATCTGAGAATCGGTCTGAACCAGTGATTCTCAAACTCTCGTGTATGGAAGATTCTGAGTGGGCCTAGGACCCTGATCCTCTGGCTAAGCTTTGAGAAGACACTGATCTAAATGCTCAGTAGCCATGTTTGCTTTCTTGCCATATGAAACAAAACTTCCACTGATTTTCCTTCACTTACCTCTTTCTGTCATCAAATCCTGCCTTTCACTGCCCCACCCAAATTCCAGGAGTCTGGGGGAGCAGTCTGTGTCTCCCCCTTTTATTCCCTCTGTGGGGATCCCTCCCATGGTTTTGGAACTTCCGAGTGCCAGCTGGCTCTGGCCTCCCTGTCCCAGGCTGAAGCCACCCGGTCGGAACAGGCTCGGGCTAGATGGAGGCCGGCCAGGGGCGGCCGTGTGGGTCAGCAGGCTCCAGGAACCAGGGGTGCCCAGCCTCCGCAGAATAGCAGTGCCCTTGGATGCTGTGGCTTGGTAGTGGCCATCCGCCCTCGCATCCTCAGGAGGGATCCTTCGTCCTCTGCTGTTTACCTCCGGGGATGGGAGGCTCACTACTGCCTGTCGCAGCCTGATCCCGTGTCCACTGGCTGTGCTGACCTTTTATAAATATGAGCCCAAATGAACTGCCCTGTAACTGCCACCTGTTGGGGGTATGAAAGCCCGGGTTGGAGAAAGGCCCTGTGAGGCCCACTCTGAGTAAACTACCTTCCAATCTAGATGGATGGTTATCCCCTTGATCAAAGCTGCCATCTAGCAAACTCCTCTATAATCCTAACTCTTTGTGTTGTATGAGGCTTAAGTGACATAATATGGGTACTCTCAGCACTATGCCCAGCCCAGATTAAGCGCTAATAAATGGCAGCTGCTGTTATGATAATTGGTACAGTGTATCCAGCACTCTCTCATGCCAGGTGGGATGGGGGGGATGCTGAGCACTTCCGTGCACACACCCATGTGATGCCGCTAGCTCTGGGAGCACAGTACCAGGAACCTATGCTTGGAAACTTTGCATCGATAATCCTACCCAATCCTCTTCATGTAATGGAGAAGAGAATACAGATGGCTTTAAATACCTTTTCTTATTTATTCTCAACAGACACACCAGGAGGCAGGTAAGAGAAGAGGTATCCCAGTCCCACCGTTAAAGAGGAAATTAAGGCTCAATAAGGCTAGGTGACTCAGCCGAGATTTGCAAAGGCGGGACTTGGGGTTAGACCTAGCACAGCCTTCTCGTTCCAGATCCAGATCTATCTTTACCACTCCTTACTTTATTATGAGGTGAAGTGGAAGTGGACGCAAATCGGAATTGTGGAGGCACGTTTTGAGCGCCTACTGTCTGCCAGGCCCTGTGCGATGGTTGAAAACATATACAAAGACGAATAAGACTGGTTTCTCTTCCAGCCCAGTGGGAGAGCATTAGTCATCCCTGTCCCCGCCATCCACCCCCCTGCCCTGTTTCTCAGCTCTCCTCCTCCCCGCATAGTGGGACAGGTGGCATGTGCCCAAGGGGTGGAGTAAGAGGAATCTGGAAGGACTCTGACCACAGCAGCCCCCACTGGGTGGGGGGGGGTCCCTCTCTAGTTTATAAGTTAGAAGAGCCTCTTTATGTTCCTCTCAAAGGCTGAGCTGCCATGGGTGGCCATGTGGGAAGCCTGGCCCTCCCAGCCTTCCGGCAAAGTCACCCTGTCCCTCTGTGCCTGCCACAGCCCAGCCTACGGAGGCCGCCTGTGTTCAGGGCCCGAGTTCCAGTACCAGATATGCAATAGCGAGGAGTGCCCGGGGCCCTACGAGGACTTCCGGGCCCAGCAGTGTGCCAAGCGCAACTCCTACTACATCCACCGGAATGCCAAGCACAGCTGGCTCCCCTACGAGCCTGAAGACGGTGAGTGGCTCCCCGCCCCCTGCCATGTCCCTGGGCGTCTGCTGGGTCCATGTCTTCCCAGGTGCGTCTCCCATGCCTGGGGCCACCAGTGGAGGTAGAGGGACAGTTGGGGCACCAAAAGGGACATGCAGTGGGCAGGCTTGCCATACACCTCTGTGCGGGCCCTTGTCTTGTGTGCCTTGGGGCCAACGGACCTCATGAAAGCCATCCCTGATTTATGTATTTATGCTGACGGTTTTCTGGCAGGGAAACCACCTAGAATCAGGGGCCCTTCACCCAGAGGTGCCGTTGGGGTGGGCAGCAGTGTTGGCTGTTGGGTTGGTGCCTCTCGCCCGGGCCTGAACCTGTACGGGAAGGCCCTCTACAGGTGCGCGCGCCCTGGCTTTGCGTAACCACCATCCCGAGAGGCTCTGTCCTATCACATCCCATATTTTTAGGTTTTACTGACGGTGCTACTGTTATAGCAGGTAATGAAGAGGATTTAAAAGGCAGGCAGATGAGAGCCTCTGGGATCCTGATACTGACTCCCTCCAGGCTGCTCTGGGACAGACACAGGCCCCAGGACTCATGCAGAGGAACTGAATTTTGGGACCAAGTGCCAGTGCCAGGACCTGTGTGCTTTGGAGCCTTTCCACTGACGGCTCTCTTAGCAGCAGAGAGATGCCAGTGAAGGGCTGGGGTTCGAGGCGTCTTAGAGCCTTCAGGCTGGAGGGGCCCCTCACGGTCCTCTGTGTCCACTCCCCCTGCCAGCCTCTCTATGGTCCTTTGATGGACAGATGTTCAACCCCTACCCTGCAGCCCTCAGCCTCAGATGGCACCTACTAGAATGGCCTTTCCTCTCCTGAGCCCAGGGCCTCCTCTTTGGAGCCCTGGTTCCAAAGGATTAACTGCAAGACCCTTGGTTGTTCAGCTCGTATTTAGAATGACAATCTTCAGGTTGGAAGGGACCTCAGAGGCCTGTCCATTGCCAGCAGGGCACAGACCTCTCCGGAACATGATGACAGAGACTGTTTTCCCTCTGCTTTGAATTCCTCCCACCCTAGGGAGTTTGCCACCCCGTTGCCACTATGGGCTGGCTTCCATGGCTGTCCAC